GGAGGGGGGAGAGGGGATGAAGGAGAAGGTGAAGGCCAAAGTTTTGAAAAAAAGGGAATATCAGTTTGTGTAGGTTGGACGGACAAACTGTATTAACAATGGTGTTTTCTTTTGAACAACTGTCCAGTTGTCCGCTTCAAATTTAGTCTTTTCTTTGAGTTGTTTCTATTCGAATTGGAGATGAGGGGTTGGAGAAGGAGGGGAGCTCAGGTGCGCGTGACAAATGAAATAACAGAATTGTTCGTAACCGTTTGTGAAAATTCACAGTTCGTTTGTTTGCCCCAGTAAATATCATATTTTTGCAGATACATACGAGCAAGCTTTCTTGCATCACAGTGGATTGAAGGAGTTGTTTGGATCAATTGATCCGAAGTTCCTCAGTGGTCAAACATCGCCCGTATTCAATCATTTATTTCTCAGTACAATGCTGGCACAATACCCCAAGAATAAGTATGTGTTGTTTTGCAAGTTCCCAGCTTGCGATGAGTTTTTGGATTTACAAAGTGGTACGGATACTTTGTTATCTATTGCTACGCACATCGCGTTGGTGACCCAGCCTGTTGGCGTCTGCTTTTCTGCTTTTTTATCCTCTCGCAAATACCAGAGATATCGCACTCCTCGAATCATTCGGGTGGTCATTTAGTTCGCTTGTTGGCGATCCTTTGGTGCTTTGCCATCACCCGCAGTGAAAAATGCGTAAGAAGCTGACTGTGTATTTTTTTTGAGACAGCGCGTCTTGGATGAAAAGATATCTGTAGCCGGACTAGGAAGCAAGGCCCCGTGCAAATTGATGTGTTGAGAAAAAATTGTTCACTGCGACAGGCGGATCACTGAAAATGATTTTAGCTCAGAGTTTCACTGAGGCACCCTTTCTCCATTTCATCATATCTAATTTTTTTTTTTTGAATTTATGGGAAAAACTGGTAATTTACAGAGGCAGAGCAAAAACACCACTGTGTGTTACAATGTGTGGAACGGTTCCGGTTGCTTCAGAAATTGTGCAGCCGTTGAACGAGGACTCGATGAAGGCACAGATTACTTTGAGCAAAGATGGTAAGCTGCAGCCTACAGAGCAGTACTGCCCTGGATTATGCATACTTTGTAAACTTACCTGCGCAGCTTTCCGGCACTGAACATCCTCGAAATTTACAGGCCACTCGTGCTTCATGATGAATTCGAATCAACT